CTTTTAACCAGTATAAAGCTACCCTAGAGTCGCTCCAAAATATTGTTTTAATCTCATGGGCATTTAAAACCTGCTTCACTGAATATGCCAACCTGGCACCAATGCAGCAAGCCATTAACTCTAACCTAGGGATCGTTACTTTCTTCAAAGGTGCAACTCTGGTTTTTGCTCTAACAAAGTAAATTTTTACCCTTGAGAGGTTCTCGTTCTAAAAAAAATACAGGTGGCATATGCCTCTTGCACGCATCTACGAAAACATGCATCTCAGTGGAATCATTTATTTCAACATAACGTGAGATTTCGATATCTCTTAATGCATCTATTTCTCTAAACCATCTTTTAAAAGACATTTGAATACTATCTGGTAAGGGAGTATCCCACTTTAGATTTAAATTCCACGTTTCCTGCAGTAAAAGCTTAGGTGGTAAGATTGCAGGACTCAACAGACCTATTGGATCAAATATTTTCTGAACTGTAGCTAAAATGATTCTCTTAGTAAAATTTTGATCTTCACTTACAAGATTAAAGTTTAAATTACACTTAAGAGTGTCCTTATCAAGATCCCACAAAATTCCCAATACTTTCGTGACACCAGTACTATTAGAAACATACTTACATTTACATTACTATCCCAGTTTCTTAAATTAAAGCAACCCCGTGACAAAATATCTTTTGCATTTACAATAAAATCTTCCTGCTCCTCATATTTGCAACACCAGAAACACAATTATCTACGTAAAAAGAATGTTTCAGTTTTTGTGCTATAGCATCAAATTCAGATGGTACATTACCTAATAAATGTGTAATTGAGGTTGCCAATAAAAATGGACTCGACTTTAACCCAAATACTACTCTGCAATCTCGGTAAACAATCTGTTCACTCTCGGACGGATAAAAAAACCGCAAGAAATCTCTATGTTGAGGGGCTATACTTAGCATCAGAAATGCTTTCCCAATATCTGAAGATAATCCTATTGGATGAATTCGAAACCTATCAAGTATCTCTGGAATTATTTCTAGTAAGTTCGGACCCTTATACAAAAGGCTCATTTCAAAGAGCATTTACCACTTTCTCGGGCTGACGCGTCAAAAGACAGGTCTGATTTTTGTATTGGTACTGTCCTTAATTACTGGCCGATGAGGTAAAAAATGTCCCGTCTTCAGCATATTATCAGTTACCTTTTCAATTATATTTCAATTTTCTCCCATTCCCGGAAAATCGTAGTATATTCTTCTAAAAAGGTTTTATCTTGTGCTCGCTGGCACATCCTTTCATGCCGCTTCCAAGTTAAATCTTTATTTTGTCGGCAAATCGGCCACACCAGATTCAAAAGGTAAACAAAGTTCATATCTACCGTCCTGAAAGAATTTTCACATTATTTTTAAACTTTTCCAAAACTCCTAGAATGTTTAAATTCTTTTTATTATTTTCAATGGGATCTGGAATACCTATGGATTCTAAAGACCGATAAATCTTTTATCGAATAAATACTAATCATACAACGAAATTATATTCAAAACTGTATCATCATTGCTATCTGCAAATGACTCATGCTTCCCAGTTAACACATGTCCCACACAAGTGTCAATCAAAAATAATCCTGACTCCAACCGAACATATTTATTCGCTAAATAAAGCGCCGGCAATATTCTGCTCCCAAAAGCAGATCGATCTCACGATCAGAAGAAACCCAAATCAGACAAACTGACGCCTCTACTCTTTCAAGTTCATTAAGAATTTTACAATCGTTCACTTTTGGCACTGTGCCAGAAATTTTGCTCCCGGAATAGTGCTTCGATTTGAAAAGAGAAAGATTCATCTATTGCCGAAATGTCAACAAATTATAAACATCGTGAATCTGCGCTTCGCGTTTCTCTTCCAACCGAATAACGAATGCTTCAATTTAATTTGCCTTAATGGTTTTAAATTTAAATTCTCTACTAATTTTTTACTGACATATGAATGCTGAGAACCTGTATCCAGTAATGTGCGTACTTTAAGCTCAACATTCTTAAATTTAATTTTAACTATTAGAGTCATTAAATAAACATTTTCTGATTCTACAGTTATTAGTTAATGTACCTGGTTTCAGTTACGTCACTTCTAGACTTTTCATTTGCGCTTTTTTTCTTAGCGATTGGGACACATTGGGACATTAAATTAAACATTAAAGAATGGTGATTTTTGCATTACTGTAATTTTATTACAGTACATGCAAGAATTTTTTACTCGACATGTTTTACAAGTGTGTCCCAATATGAAACATCCAAAACAGGCACCTTTTTAAATTAAAATATTTTTCTTAGCTTCTAATGTCATATTTCATGCAGAACAACATTCTTTAGTTAGGTGCCATTTTTCACAAAAGAGAGAGTTCAAATTGCGCTTACCTGGGCTCTCAGAATTTGACATTACTAGCGCAGATGCTCTTGTGGATTCTGCATTTTTATTTAGTGTATCCCTTTTCTTAGAAGTATGATTGAAACCAAACCCAGTGCGGGCTAACACGACCATTTCTTCTCCTTTCACTTCTTGTTTCAAGAAAATTCATCAAATTTTCAAGGCATCGGTCATCAGGCTGAGGTGCTTCTTTTAAATTTCTGTTTTTCTCCGAAGCAATTAATACTTTCTTCAGACAGGCAGGATTCAACTAAAGGCGTTAAGAAATCACCATACTTCTCTTGCGTTCTTCCAAGACTTTCTAAAGCTCTAATCTTGATTTCTAAACCATCGTAGAGAGTAGGAAGAACCGTCTTCACACGTCCACTGCTTGCATTACGCATAACCATGCTTAGAAGATCACTGACGTATATCTGTACAAGTAAGTCTGCTCTTCCAAACCTCTCTCGAAGCTGGGTGATTGCTTTTCGGATAATTCGTCGCCGTTGCCGGAAAGCTCTCTACTCGTGCGGCTCTAGACTGAGGAACAATTGCTTGCAGAAGGTACTGTAATTTATCTTCATCTGGAATCGTTCGGATCTACATGGATCTTCGAAACCTGGCTCCAAAACGTCAAAAATTCTTTTCCTTCGCCGTTGAATTTCTTTAGTTCGATCTTCGGCAGTTTAAATTTGCTTTTCTCTGGTAATTCAGTAAGGTAAAGGATTCTTCGACAGCTTTTCGATTTGAGAACACAGTTCAAACTATTTATCTCTATAAGGCTCAGACGAAATAAAATCTTCTTCATATAGCTTTTCAGCTTCTTTAGATTGTAGAATTAGCTACGTTACTTCCTTTTGGCAAATTTCAAGTCGATTAAACTTGTCTCTAAGCTGTTGTTCCAGAATCGAAAGTAGCTTCAAATCAGGAATATCTGATTTCAGTTCTGCATCAATTTTGTTTGCACATGTGGTAAAGGAAGTTCTTAGACATTTTCTTTCGGTTTTCAGCTGTGTAAGCTCCATTTTCAATTTATTTTAGCTGTTATCGCGCCCCACGTCTTGGCGCCACAATGTTATGTTACGTAAGGCGTTACGTTCGAACAATGGCTAGCTCAGAAGGGATTCGTAAGTCATCTACCCGATGAATTAACAGCTATCTTGTCATAAATGGAGTACTTCATTTAAACTTAAGCAAAGAGCTTTATTTACACATAAAGACAAGTTAAAAGAATATAAAATATTTATCTAGCTACAATATCTATCTAGCCACATCATGCAAACATCGTTCTTAGCTAACTAAACCGGAACTGTTCGTTTTCCTCTGGCGTCCCATGACGTCAGTCTCTATCTGGCTTTTGATTCGTTGGCTTAGTGATGCCATTCCCAACATTGGGGGCGATTAGCCACTGCGAAACACAGAAGAGTACTTTCTCCGTGGAATGATGTTTGATACACCTGAGTGCTTAGGCTGACGCCTCACCCCAAATCGAACATAGAAAGTTTTGAAATATATTACAAAGTAACTTATTTAAGATGTAGTAATTTTTTTAAATTTAAATTTTGAAGACACGCAGTATAAATTCAGGTCTCAAAGCTGTCTAATGGAATCTATGCTATCAAGGTAATTTTGGATCAATAGGTTTCAAATAGTGAACAAATAACAATATACAAAAGATATAAATATTCATAAATAAAAACAAAAAATACCGAATAACATAACAAAGTAAATATAAAAATCAGACCTCCATGATTACATTTGGATTGAGATTGGACATTGGCCTTTGTTTTATTGGTATCGTTCTTATAATAGTAATTATAAATTTTGAGTTCAGAGTTACTTATAGTACGTAAACGAATGTGAAACTGGTCTGTCCAGGTGGTAGTAAAAACTTTTCAGTGGAATTATGCCTAGTCCCGCATGAATTGCATTGTTTCTAATATAGTATACGGTGCTTTTGTAATGTGCCGCAGAACAATATTCTGAGCAGTTTGCAGTTTTTTACGTAGAGTTTTACATGAATACGCCTAGACTAGACAAGCGTAAGAGAGCATGGGACGCAAGATGGATTTATAAATGCGCAACTTATTATCTATAGATAGAACGCTGTTTGGGGTTTTGAGTTTAGCTTTACGAACCCGAAACTTCTGAATAATACAGTGTGTATATGTAGACCATGCGAGAGACTTTGTTAGGATCACCCCAAGATAAGTGACTTGCTTAGCCCAGGAGTTGGCCTTGTACCAGGGCCGTAAGGTTCCATAGAACGGCAGATTTTGTTCAATTTTTCTTTTTAGTGCAGACTTTTTTAACGTTGAGCTAACTTTTCAGTTTCAGTAACCAGGCCTTCTATGTATATGATTTTGAAGATGTTGTATGACTGGGCTAAGAAAATAAAAAACCATCGGTTGTTCGTTTGGAACGAACCGATGCTTTCTTGATCTTGATAAGAGAATTTTAGGTAAAAGCCATTAAAGGGTATTTTTAGGCTCCTTGCGTACAGTTAGCCTTGGCTTTACAAAAATCTTCGTCGGTGCTTTTCTCTCTACTTTTAAATTTTACAATGGCAGTCATACTACTAAAAATTTGCGCAGCGCCATCTCTTGGCGGTTGTTGTTATCTGTTAAAGGTGTCACGAGCTGTGATTTGAAGTGTGAGAGTCATACAGCGAAAAATAAAAAAACAGAAGTGCCAAAAAATAAATAAAATCGAAAAATGGCCATTTCGCTTTTAAATAGTGTGAGAAGCTTTTCATCATCTTCGATGCTGAATGCAGCAATTAAAAATGTTACAGTTATTGGTAGTGGTTTAATGGGCTCTGGTATTGCCCAGGTAAATATTGCTGTCTATATTAAAAAAAAAAAAAAAAAATGTATTAATTTAATTTAACAGGTTTTTATATTAACTTCTCTGATAAAATTCCTTTTTTGTCTTCTGGACTGAATGGGCATTTTAATTGAAATTCAGATTTCTAAAATGTAACCATAAATGTTAATTTCATAAAGCAAGAGTATTAAAAGCTATCCAAACAACTAACTGTCTTTTTCTTTAATGCCTGATGGGCAGGAGAAGATCTTAGTTTCTATAATAATAGTTATTAATTATATATTGTAAATTTGTTTCTAACATTTGTTTTTTTCATGAGCTACATCATATAGTATACTAATATATCCCAATAAGTTTAATAATTTTTATAATATATGTGTAAGATTTGTTTTTATTAGGTAGCTGCCCAAACTGGTCATGATGTAATCCTAGTAGATGTTTCAGAACCAATTTTAGAAAAAGCTACTGCAAGCATCAAAAAGAGTCTACAAAGAGTTGCAAAAAAGACATATGCAGAAAACCCACAGGTAAGAAGTGACATGGTCTGTTTCTGAGGATCTAATTGTATAAAATTTTGTAATAACTTTAAGCCTAGATTAGCGTAAGTTGATTATTAAAACTCAAAGTGTTAAGATTGTTTAGTCATTGAGCTAAATAGTAGATATGCATTTGTGTAATGCAAATAAAACTCTTTGATACTTTAACGGTATACTGGCCTTCAGCAGAAGATATTGTCCCTGCTCTTGCCAGTTCCTTTGAGAATCGCATGAAGATCCTGGCATATGAAGAAACCTAAATGATTTTCTCTCAGTGAGAAGGAGCTAAGTGAAGGGTAGAGAAATGTGGCACTTGGCCACTGTAGAAGTTATCATTGCTGAAAATGCTGGAAAAGGCTATGTTTGCATCAGAAAACAACTAACAGGCCATCAGTCAGGAAAGCTGTGAACTAGAAGTGATAGCACTTTATAATCGGAATAAGACTGTTGTAAAAGCATCTAACGGAAATGTCATCTTAATCTCACAGCACCAAAAAAAAAAAAAAAAAAAAAAAAAAAAAAAAAAAAAAAAAAAAAAAAAATTCACTAAGTCCAAATTTTGTTGAAGTTTTTGCTGCAGTGAGCTGGCTTTTAGAGCATGATTTTATAGTCTCTAATATTTTACAGAGAGTATTGGAAAGTTCTAAATTTTGGATGATCTTAAAACCAAAGATTTGGTCATATTTCTTGCGCACTTGCACAGATGAAGAGTCAAAATCAGATAAATTTTTTCGAATGAGAGAGTCTGAAATTTGAAGATTTTTCTTGAAAACTCTAATATGTATGGGAGGAGATAGAATTTTCTTTATCTGTTGCTGGGATGGTACAGACGTTTGGTTAAAGTAACCAAATTGTTGGGTTTGCAATTAATGCAGGTGGGCTTTGTTTCTCTCAGGAGTTTCCAGGGGTAGGATAAATGAGCCTAAGAGCAATAAAGACATCTAGGTTGATTGTCGCGTTCAGTTTGCATATGTTCGAAACGTCGAAATCTAAAACAGATTTTTGACTGTTTTTTTGGTCTGTACTTCTTAACTTTTTGGCGAGAGACAGAGTTTTTTCATGGAAGGTCTGGTTGCTTTTATCACAGATTTATTCATTTTTAAGCTCTACAAAGGAAACCGTAAGGTTGATTTTTCTACTTGTATTATTCCTGGAAAACTGCTTTAACATAACAACTGGGTTACCTAGGTTGTTAAGTTCATTTCTGATGGAGTCTGAGGTTTCATCTGCTGATAAGCTGTAAATTACAACCTTGTATCATTGAAGTTGTTGTACCAAAAGTACGAAATTGAGTTTCAGTTTTAAGTACTGCATCAAGAGCCTTTTCTCTGGTGTCCAAGTCATAGAACTGGGGGTGGATGTTTTCACGTTTCACTGTTTCCAGTGTAGTCTGTTGTTATTTTCATCAAAAATGAATTTAATTTTTTTTTCATGTTACTTGAGATGGCGGATAAGTGATGGGCGGCAGGTACCATTTCTTTTCCACAGGAGTTAGGGCAGAAGTTGAATCTGTCACATTGTCCGATAAATCCTCCAGACAGCTGAAGGAGTTCTCTGTGGAGATTTGGGTGCGATTTCACTCCTATCAGAAATCGAGATGGAAACTATAGTGGAATTGACAGAGTGGGGGATGACTGTTTTGTCTTCATCCCCGACTCTGTCGATTCTTTCGTCGTTTTCTGTTTCTGAATCGCAAGGGAACATTCAGTGTCACTTTCATTTAGATAATCGCTGTCAGATTCTTCGGAACCAACACTATTCAACATTAATTTTTTAGAAAAATTAGAATCTGTAGGTTGAGCTATTCCACATATACAATAAAACATATTCCAGTATATCAAGTTATCCTGTTCTTGTTCAAGAAATCTCATTCACTATTATTACATTATGAAGTATTCAGCTTCACAACAGCTTCCTTAAATTTGGCATGATTTGTCTCAAAGCCTTGAAGTAGCCGGATTGTTCAAAACACTGAACTTGAAGTTCTTGATATAAATTGATTGCTTGATGAAAATTATAATCATAGTTGTTAGTATTGGCAGAATCTTTAGTCCAAGTCATAACTGGAATCCAATAATTATCCAAACTGTGAAAATATATAAGGTAATCATTAAGTATTATGAGCAAGCGGCAAATATGCCTTCTTACTCAGAAGCTAATTATATCTGTTGATCAAATAAAATTCTATTGATTGTTTACTATGGAAATAGTTAACTGGTTATGATGCCTTAAGTGTAAATTTCTTTAAATATTTTCATAGGATCTTGAATTATTCAAATCTGTAAGCTATGCTTATTTAACTTTTTATTGGTTTAGGTGTAGCTTCAGAAAGTTCAACATTTTTTTATGGATAATTAGTAAACATAACTTAGAAAATTCAACATTGTTTGTTCAGAATTCCACATTAGGAAATATATACATAATTATAAAGAAGAAAAATCCCAGCATATCTTTTTTTTTTTTTTTTTTGTGGATGAATTATATTCTAATACTGTGTAACCAACTTATTAGTATTAAGAAAATATGTCTAAGCATTTTGTATATTATTTAATTGGTCTTAAAATGATGACATTTAATCCTTAAACTGGCCAAAGTTTTCGATAAGAAACCCCGAATTTCCAAAGACGAGAATATTTTCTTATATGCCCAGATTTATGTACTTTTAATGTGTTGCCATAGTTTCTTAGGCATATTTCAAGATGCATTTATATGTACTTTATATATATATATATTCGCACTAAATGGATTTAAGATCATACAACATTTATATATATATATATATATATATATATATACAGTTTGGCTTCATATATACAGTCAAAAGTCATTAATTCGGACCTCGAAGCTACAAACTTTCTGCGCATGCGTCGCTTTGACACATGCGCGTAGGCGTTTACGCCTGCGCGTAAGACCTTTACGGCTGCGAATATGGGTATGCGCAAGCGCGTAATACGTTTACGCATGCGCGTTTAATGTATAACGGATGGTATAAACTAAGCTAAAATTATCTAATTCAGTTAATGTTGCAGATTGCGTTGTTCCTTAATCTTCAAATTGGATCTGGCTTATTATTTTTTGCAGACTGTTAGAGCAATTTTATAAAAGTAAGCTTGAACTTTCGATGATGTCAAATAGAATTTCCGATATATATTTACTAATATGTAAAAGATCTACAAAGTATGTTTTGAAATCCGAAATCTGTTTATCAATTTCACGTTGCTCTGTGGCAGGGGGGGCAGAAACACGGCGGCACACAATGAATTGGAAGTTGATCTGTCAGCACTATCCTTATCTTCAGGGCAGATGTTTTTATTTTATTTGGCTTATAATTCCTTACTGAATGTAGTATTTCATTTGGATGTACACCGGCTTTGATATGATTTAAATCAAGTTCCTCGTCATTATAATTCTCTTCGGATAATGAAGAAAGTGACAGAGAGGTTATTGAAAACGAAAACATTTCGATTGACAAATTAGTCGGTATTCTCGACACAGCAATTATAGGACTTGAACAGCGGAACTTTGTAACTAAACAAGAAATTATGGCTGTTTAATAGAATTAAATATAAAGTATTATCACATGAAATGAAGCAACTTAAACAACTTACATTGAAAGAAATGTTTAATAAAGTAAACAAATAAATATTAAGTTTTTCTTTTTGTAAATTTTGATACCCTTTAGATCATAATTGTTTTTTATTTCATAAATTATGGTTTCATATTTTTAATTTTGTAATTTCTGCATGCCATCTTACCAGATTTTAACTGATGATCTATAATTCGGAAAAGTTGATAATCTGGAATCGCCGAAGTCCCAACGAGTCCGAATTAACGACTTTTGACTGTATATATATATACAGTTTGGCTAGTCAGAGGATTAATAATTAAATTAAAAATTGGTTTCTTTTTTGCTATTAAAGAATATCAGCATTCATGCATAACCAGATATTTTCTCCCTTCAAGATATTTTAGCGGGTTTTTCATCCGCAGAGAACCCATTGGTGCCATTGCATTTTTACTCGCCAAGCTCGATGAGCCGAGCCGTAAACTTGATTTTTAATGCATGTAAATTCAAGTTAGCAGACAAAAGAATGTATTAAGCATATGGTAGTAAAAATTCACAGATAATAAGCATGTAGATGTAAAACTAACCGGTTAAACGTGATATACGAAAATAAATTTATATTACTGTATTTGACGGCATATAAGACGCACTTTTTTTCCTAAATTTGGTCTAAAAAATGTTACCTGTGTCTTATACGTGAAGGACACAGGTTAACTTTCAATACTGAATGCTATTTTTAGCCCGGATAAAGGTCTAGACACACATATCTTTTTCTACATCCGCCATAATTATTTTGCGCATGCGTAAAATATCTGTCGCCAAAAAGCACCAAAATTCGAAGCTGATGTCGAAGTTCGAACAGGTTCGAAGGTCACATTACTTCTATGGAGCCTTTCCTTCTTTACATAGACTTTCTTTGACTCAGCCGACACACGTGTCGGTATCGGTGCTACTCTGTATAAATGTGTCTGTATCGGTGCTTAAAACTATTTGTTTTAAAAAAATACCCCGAAAAATATGACTACAGGAAACAAGAGATTATTCAGTATAAACTAGGAGTGTTAAACTACGCCCAAAGTGCATGGAAACAGAGCAGCAGCAAGGCATTTCGGTCCACCACCTACCGAAAAAAATGATACGTACTTGGCGACTGCAGGAAGATCAACTGAAGACTGCTAAAATACAAAAACATAACCTTCGATGCCCAGCTTCATCTTGGCCTGAACTTGAAAATGCCATACAAATGTGGGTGATAGATAAGAGGAAATCTGGGATAAGTGTTTCAACTAAAATGATAATCAATGAGGCCAAAGGATTTGCAGAAAAACATGGGAATCAGAACTGTTCAGGGTCTGGGGGCTGGTGCTACAGGTTCATGAAAAGGCAAGGCTTATCAACAACTATTGCACAGAAAATACCAGCAGAT